GAAGAGAACTCTTCTTCCCCCTCGGTCGGGATCCTTTTTGGCGACCTTCGCCCGAGCTCTGCGTTCACACACACACTGACACGTTGCTCTCGTTGGGGATTTTATATTGAAGTTTGCATGATTTCTAATAAAAAATGGCTTTTGAAACGGTAACGGGTTTCCTTTGCATCAAACCGGCCTGCGAAATCTCCCGATCTCGTCTTCCTCTTTGGAACATCCTCGAAACTTTCGATGACGCAATTGCAGATTTTTCTCGCACCGGGAAGAGTCTGTGTCGTCCCCCCCGGCCGTCTCCCTCCTCCCCATTTGCTCTTGCCAACCCGCCGCGCCCCGGCTAGTGAGACCCTGCAGGATCCGCCCTTCCCCCCTTCCTTCCTGTGCCATCTCCGCCCTCCCCGGGCCTGGCCCCCCCCCCCCTATCATTCACTGCCCTCCAGTTGCCCTGCCTGGCCTGACCTCTCCTGTCACTCAGGAACCAATATGGCGGCGTCTCGTCTTGCAAGCCATGAAGGAGCCTGGTTCGGGAGTGCCTCGACCGCCAGGAAACCGCCTTGGGCAGTGAGTTTGGGGCATCGTAGGACAAACCGCGTAGGACGTCCCCCAGAGGGTGCCATTTTTCTTGACTTTGAAGTATCAGATTGTCGCGGGTCGACCCCGTCATCCACAAGGCCCCGTTTCCTGGCAGGTCGGACCAGACAGTGCTCTGCACGCCCGTTAGCCAAGTGGCGCATTGAACTGGAAAGGTCTGTGGCTAGCCTAACACCACAGCTGCCCCTGGGGGGCTTGAGGAGTCTCCTGCAAGCTCGGGGGCCGGGGCCCCCCCCCCCCCCCCCACGCTTGTCAGCATCCATCCTGTGTCTCTCCCGCCCCCACCCACCCACCCACCCGATGTCTGTCATTATCCCTTGGCTCACGCTTCATGTGCACTCCCCGTATTCTCAAAACACCAGCTTAGATCTCCCGGTCTGTCAACTTCGCCTCTAGATCAGAGAGGGGAGGAAAATTTGTTTAGGTGTCCCCATTTAATGGGGGCATGTTCCTGAAGCAATAATGCACGCATGCCTGTGCTCTGAAACGGGGCCACCGGGCCGCCTTAGCATGGCAGGTGTGCCACGTGCCTGCCGGCAGGGAAAAGTCTTGCGGGAAGGCCAGTGGAAGCTGAGATATTTGGCATATATTCCCTGAGCGGAGGGGTCTGACGGCAGGCAGGTGTTAAAATTCTGGCTCTTCAGTTCCTGTCTCACTGTCCCAAAACCAGGGGACTCGGAGAGTGGTTTTGCTCCTGGCTGGTGGTCTCAGTCCCCTGGTTTGCTCCGCGGGCCATAGATGTGCAGGCCCTGCTGAGGGTTTATCATCCGAGTCTGTCAGGCAGAGGTGGTCAAATAATGTTGCACTTTATATCTTCTGTGACCGCATTAATAAAAAGTGGCTAAGTGTCTTGTGAAAGGGTGAATAACTCCTCCTTTTCCCCATCAACCCAGTTATTCCTCGACTGCGACTTATCAGTTTGGCCGTGGCGGCCGTTTGCAAAGCTGTCCCCGGAGTCCTGGCCGGCCGGCTGGCCCAGGGGGCGGTGGAGGCGCTTCTGTGTCCTACAGTGCCTGTGTTTAGCTTTAGATCCAGAGACACTTAGGGCCAACTTAGCCCCAGCTTCGGTTTCCAATGGGGATTTTTTTTTTTTAACAATGCAATTTTGGATTTGAAAGTGGCATGTCAATACTACAGTTCCCGTAAAGGTCTCAAGCCCCGGTTGGTCTCTGTCCACCTCACTCGGAGGGATCGGAAGTAAGAAACGCTGCGGGAGAGGAGCTGATATGCTGGCTCAGGAATCGTGAGAAATGTCCGTAGCTGTAGAGTGGTGCAGGAGCATGTCAGTTGCACCTGGGAGGAGAATCTCCCAGTGGTCTGTGCCAGATGTTGATTCTTTGGCGTGGGGAGGCACCGCTTGGATGCTCTTGTGAACACGATGTGCCGAAACCACCATTCTTTGCACTGTGTGGAGTTCTTTCCTGGCTTGGATGGAGAACAGCAGGTTTGCACCGGAGACCCAAGATGTAGGAGATACTTGGCAGGTGCCTGATGGGGTTTGACCGGAGTGCCCACCCACTTTGGGGCAGCAGATACCCAAATTTCTCCCCATTTGTTGAGGGGGTGGTCGACAGAGCCCGCAGGTTTCTTTGAGGGTGGGTCAGTCGCCCACTCAGTGCGGACATTTGTGATGTTGGAAAGTTCCGGATCATCACGCTTCACTGGAACTCGGAGAGGGCCAAGCTGGATAGCAGCCGGTTATGTGTACGTCTGAGAAGATGGTGGTGGAAAGAAGATTGTGGTGTTTGTGTGGACTGATGAGACTTAGGTGTGCAGCTTGCTGAGCCTGCTGGTGATTGTAGCGTTGCGTGTGGAAAAGCCAGGCAGGCGCCTGTAGCCGGGATTTTCTGCTTGTATCCCAAGGAGATCTGGCGTATCCTTCATAGCAGCTCAGGGACTGCTTAGAGGAGAGCA